AAAAAAGCCTGGTTTTTCTCAACACACCTTTAAAGGTTTTTAAATTGTTTCATATCTGGTCAAGTTGAGATTTTTAAGAACTTCATTTTTAATTTGTAATAAAAGTTTACAACTTGATTTTTTCAAAAAAGTCAACAAACTGCAAGCACCTGTTAATAAAGGTCTTAAATAAAAAAAAAAAATTGCAGCAGATATAATTTACCCAACTGGGCAGGTCATTTAAGTATAATGAAAAGAATAGTTAAATTATTGGCTCCATGCTGATTGGTTCAATAAAACTTCCTAACTCGCAGCTTCCAGGCTTCATATTACATATGTACACAAAGAAGTCGTATTAAATATGGGCTCAAATAGCCTTATACTCTGCACAAAATCATGAACCTAATTATCCTGTTCGGAAAGCCACTTAAAATGTAGTTTTGGGCCAGCCAAATAGTTCAGTGGATTATGGCCAGGGGTTTGATCCCTGGACGTGCAGTGCTGACTCCATCCCCGGGGTCACACTGAGATGGCAGTTGAGACTGGGCATGGTGCTGAGTGCCTGTAATTCCAGCTCTTCGGAGGCTGTAAACAAGAGAATCACTATGAGTCCGATCTAGTAGTGAGGCCCTGAACATCCTGTAGATCCTTCCATAAAAATACAGGGGAAAAAAATGTAGCTTTCCTCAAAACTCCAACCTTGTTTTCTTCCAAAGGGCCTAACTGCCTGTCCTGACAATCACTCCTTTCATGAAAGCACATCTTCTAAAAAGACCAAAGTACCAATGTTTCTAGGTATTATAGGATGTTAGCCCACAACACGCCTTCTCAGCACGTGCATACAGGCTGGCTTCTCAGAGTCAGGAGCTGTCACCTCAATAAGGAGGGAAAAGAAGAGTGAAAAAATGAGTCGCAGCCATGTTTTGAGGAGAGAGGGAAGCCCATGAGCGTGACCAAAGCCAAGGGTTAATAAAGTTACCAGATGCCTGAGGCAGCCAGAGGAGCAGCATGTAGCCCTGAGGCAGAGACAGGTTTCACGCATGCCCTGGATGGGGACCATCCTGCCCTTCCTTCCAGCAACCGTCCTGCTACAGCAGAGGGCCAGAACCTGTCCTGCATCCAGGTCCCAGGAGCTACCCAGGGCAGCGGCAAAGTACTGCTGTTCTTGCCCAAGTGCTGCTTCAGTCTAAAGTGCTGCTTCTGCACAGCATAGCTTCTGTAGGACCGCACGGCAGGTAAAGCACAACTGCCAAGTAGAGTCTGCCCTTCCTACTACAGCACATTTAAGTGAAGATGATGGAGAAAAGACAGCAGGTAAAATGCCTGGAGTAAAAAAGGCCTAAGCTCTACCTCAAGGTGCTATGGAGGTACTTCATTATTGCTAGGATAAGCCTGTTTTGCTTGCTAAAAACCTAGCAAGCAATTGAGGAATACAGTAATGACTGAGCTTGGGGAGCAAAATCTTTAATAGTGAAGACAAGTAAATAACACCAGGTGGGAGTTAACTATTGGGAAATAGGGCCACCAGTTGGCAAAAGAGGAAGAGACAAACGTCAGAGCAGGTAGCATTCTGCGCCCTGCAATAATGACAACAGGGGCCAGGGACATAGCACAGCAGCCCAGTGCCTGCTGGGGAAGCATGAAGTCCTGAGTTAGATTTCTGGCACCCCTCCTCCAAACAACAGTAGCTAATTACGTCTGTGATAATACCAGGCATGAAGTGCATCATGGGTACAAATTCATAGTCTCCAATGACCCTATCACATAGGTTCTAGTACCATCACCATCCCACTGTGGAACAAAGAAGCAGATCAGAGAGGTAAGGTGACCTGCCCAAGGTCACCCATGAGCTGAGCTACACTGCCCCAAGGCACAAGGAGAGGTAGGCATCGCAGAGGAAAGCAAATGAGTGCCCAAAGCACATGAAACACCAGCAGGACCATGGTGCTGAGAGAACAGTGAGCTAACAGTTTCTCTACCATCTCCAAGGTCTTAATTCTTTCTGTTCACAGGTTGAAAACTACTCTAGAAAAAACGCATAAAATTATTCCACTGGAAAAATACCGTTATCTGACGCAAATGATCATTTTCTATCATACTGGCATTTACCAAGAATCCCAGGTTGTCGCCTCATGACAGAATGCCACCAGTATTGTCAGTGTAACTATGGAGTTCCTCACTCACCATGGTGAGTCCTAGAATATAGCCATTAGCTCATAAGAACCCCAGATCTAAATGAAAAGTAAATTTATTTATTTGCGTGTATGTGTGTGTGTGGCCAGCTCAGGCACCAGGGGGCGGGGCTGGCTGGCATGTGGTGGTGGGGGATTGAACCGCGGTCCCTGTGCTTTGCTAAGCTTGTTCTAAGTAGGTGCTTTAGACCACTGAGCCATCTCACCAGCCCCTGAAAAGTAAATTTAATTGTGAAATAACCAGTGTTAAGGCGCCTAGAGATGTCCGAGCACTCGATCTCCATCAGCTGACAGTGTGAACAGTGTTCGCCTAGGCTGCTCCTCCTCCCGGCCCCCCAGGACCCAGTGAGTCACCCACCAACATGGGCTGCAGGATTTGCACCTCACGCTCCGTCAGGAAGAAGCTGGCTATAACAATGTCTGGGGTTTCCAAGCACCATAGGAGATTAGCAGAGTAATGCCAAGCAGCAAAGAGGGGCAAAAATGCAGTTCTGAAGAGCCATACCTAGCTCCTTCTGTATGTTGTCAGGGACTCCTGAAATAGTCTTTCTCCTTTTGACTTTCTTCGGTCGTCTTACCAGAGTGTCTGTGTAAATTACAGACCGCCGAAGGCTGGCCTGGCGATCAAAATTCTCCCCTAATGTAGAGTAGTAGAACAAGCAAAGCAATGTTATTTTCAAGCAAGCCGACACCATGCACTTTCTTCCAGAAGCTTGTAACATGATAAGAAGGTATTAATAATGATGTTAGCCAGTCACATGATGATGAATGCTGAAGGACGTAAAAGGAAGGAATGCACATTATCATCAGAAGGCAGCTCTCCAATTTCGGGGTGCGTGTCCTTCCAAAGGACACCCCTTGATCTCATTTTCTAAGAAGCCAGAAGAACAAATGGGAATTTGTTATTAACACACCAGAAGAGCGGTTCTGTTATTTAAAAAATGCTGCATTTTAGAAGCATTTTACACAGGTCTCTACTCACCCAGATCACGCTTGACATCACCAAGTCTGTGGTGAAGCAACAAGGACACTTTGTTCACCTGTCACCCCACAGGGACCCATGTCATACGGTCATAGGAAACATAATTTCATCAAGATCCAGAGATTTTTCCTCAACCAAGGAGGCTGTCCATTCACACAGACTGTGGAAATGGTGATAGTGTGACATACAACTGTATCGGAAGAGGAAACGCCTTCTAATGACAAAGTACTTTGGCCACCACGAGACCCTGTCCCACTGCTCTCATTAGACTTGACCTGCTTCTGTTTCATGACCACTGATTAATGTTAATCTTAACTCAGCCACTTCAAGTCATGCAGCAGTAACCCCAGGGCCACATCCACAGGACTTCTTTTCCTTCCTTGAGTGGAAGTCTGAGATTAACACAGCATGGGGAACATAAAATAATAAAGTTTGTAGTGGCACAAGTCACTGATTGGTCTGTCTTAAATTATTCACTAGTTTAATTAGGGAAGTTTTACAGTAGTGACTGTTTTACATTGTTATTCTCTTCCAAAAGAGAATTATATGTATATAAACACAAATAAATCACATTTCCATCATTCCTATGCACAAGAAAAGTATAAAATAGTCACTTTTGGGGGGGGGGGTCCTGGGAATTGAACTCATGCAGGTGCTGTGCTGCTGAACTATCTTCCTGGCCCTAAAAAAGTCACTTTTGTTAACAATATGGACCCATATTCATAATAGTTCTGATATAGACAATGTAACTGTTTATTTGGGTTTTTTTTTGGGGGGGGGTTGGCAGAACGAGGGATTGAACTCAGGCCCTTGCACTTGCCAGGCAAGCACTTATTCTACTGAGCCATCTCCCCGGCCCCTTTGGTTTTGATAGTAGCAAATTGTGAACCATATCTAACTGAAACAGGAAAAAAGGATCTCAGTGATCCTAACACATTTCTCCTATGAGAGAGAGACTCCAATAAATGCTTGCCACCTTGAAAAGTCTGGCAACTTTGCCTCATGTGGAGAATAACAGAAACGCTTGAGAGGAGAGCCTGCAGCACCAGAAGGTACCACTGCTATGATAAATGGCTACGTGCAGTAGCCTACATGAGGCTTCTGGGGGGCAAGCATGACTTCATGGGTTCATTAGTTTCCTGCAGCAGAAAAAATATGACCTGTCAAGACATTAAGAATGGACAATCCATTATCAGAAAGTTGCACTGAGTCTTTAGTGTCACTTCCATAACAAATATAAAAAGTGAATCCATCCAAGTTCCAAGAAAATGAAGAAAAACTACGTGAGAAGGAACATCTACAACATTCACTGTTGAAAGCATCAATCTCTTCATTTTGCACCCCAACCTAGAAGGACTATCTCAGCCAGGCAAGGTGGTGTGCACCTGCAATCCCAACATTTGGGAGGCTGAAGCAGGAGGATCTCTGTGGATTCCATAATGAATTGAAGACCAGCCTGAACTACATAGCAAGATCCTGTCTCAAAAAGCAAAGAAATATAAAAAATAAAAAGACTATCTCAATGGCTGACTATATATTTTTTGAGGGAAAAAAAAGGCACCTTTATGACAACATCTACCTTATTGGCCACAAGGCTGCATAAAAGCACAATTGCTAGGATTTTCGCTTTTTACTTCAGACGAAAACCATCCAAGGACTCATTAGTAGATGTGGGGGTTACAGCCATGTTGGTCGCACAAGCCTCTGTAAGCAATCAAGCTTGAGTATACAACTTCTTTCTCTTTCACTATTTTCTTTTTTGGTAATTTCCTGGGGGACCTAAATAATTTTTCAGGACTTTTCTTAATTTTGCTTATTATGTTTTGGACAAAGCCGAGCCATGATCTGACGCAGCTGTTAAAGAATCTTAAACTGACATACACTATAATCTATAAGATGGTGGTTTTGTGCATTAGATTTACCTGGAAAACTTCATCCATTTCCATTTTTTTAAGTATAGTGAATTGTGTACATATTTAACTAAAGAGATTTATAATCATTATTTTATTGAAATGATTTTAATTAAAGTGTTTCTCAAACTGAGTTTTGAAATTTTTTGGTCAAATCAGAGAATATTGTTATCTATAGAAGTTGGATCTGACTTCAGATTCAAACCAATACCAGCTTTCTTTTTCTTTGAATTTGAAAAGTGTTGATTTGTACCATTTTGCTATGCAAAACTAGCTCGTATTTGTATAATATAAATTTATCATTTGATTCTTCATTTTAAAATCATCCAGGTTAGTCAAGTCTTGATATATCTTTTAAAGCACCTAGCATTTTTTTAAAAAGTGTGCTTGAATTTAAGATTTACCTTTATAAGAATAGAATAAAATAGTATTAGAACACTGGTTTAAAAAAAAAAAAAAAAAGTCATGTTCCTTAGTGTTCCCCCTGGCACTCACCTAATATTTTGTACAAAATAGCTACTTAGTAAACATCTGTTGAACTGAATTGACCCTTCACTGAAAAATGGCACCTAGTTTGTCACGCTTACCAGGCAGAAAGCAGGCGGCTCAAATGCCGGCCAGTTTGTAAAAATGCTTCAGTTTGTTTCCTTACTCTGTTCGCCTTCCAGGTGGGAGAGCCGCTATCCCACCTGGCAGGTTAGAGAACATATTCACATGTACTTTTCATTTTAAACTTTTGTTTGCTCCTTAACTGTGAGGACAGGTTAAGTCCTTGTGTTTAGCCCTTACAACTAAAGGGATGGAATCCATTTTCTAGCCAGTAGCCACTGCGGTGACGGTCTAGGCCACTAGGCCGGAAGGGTTTCACCCTGCATGTGAAACCATGTATTTACAGGCAATTCTTTCTCCCTGATGAGGCTGACTAATAATCAGCCCAGATAGTAAAGCTACCAAGAACATGACACTTCCTGCTGGAAGCTGTGTGTGTGTGTGTGTGTGTGTGTGTGTGTGTGTGTGTGTGTGTGTGTAATCTCTAAAACCTACTACGGGAGCCAGGGAGATGGCTCAGTAGATTAAGTGCTTCCCTGGCAAGCGCAAAGGCCTGAGTTCAATCCCCAGTTCCGCCAAAAAAATAAATAAAATAAAACCTACTACGACTTTAGAAATACATAATTGAAAGAACAGGAGACTATATAACCTATATCAGTTCAATCAGTAAATGGGAAAATTTTTAATTTTATTGCTTTATACCAGATTGAAAAAAAAAAAACTCATCATTTAAGAAAAATACGTGTGTGAACACATAGATCCATGCAATAGAGTAACACATACGTTATTAGGTATATTTAATTTTGACATTTCTGCAAAGTGTTAATCACTTAATTAAAAGTAAATTACATTTTGATATAAATCACCTGCTCATTTCTTTACTGCCTGACACCTTCCCTGGTGACATTTAAATACTGTGTAATTCATATCCATTTAGTCATCAAACTGGAGAGAATTAAACTTTGAAGATATGCTGTCTCCTATTGTTTTTGAAAACATTTTTAATTTTCACTGCCTTCACAGTATTTTGCTGCAAACAATTCTGCACTCCTGAAATGCTAGTTACTCTGTCTTAATCTCCTAATCAGAAGATAATGTGCTTCACCATAATTCCATTAAGGATTATTGTATTTCATAGTACAATATTCTTACCTCATAATGTTATTTCTGAGGCATTTAATCATATATAATGTAATCATACTTCTGTGTTTAATCAAATAATGTCATTTATTCTTATTGAAAATA